CAGGTAATCTTAAACAAAACTGGTATACTGAATACAGTAATGGCTGCACTTCATGTAAGTTTGCCCAAATGAATAAGCCAGTTCAATGGAACTTAGTTCAGCATGGTCAAGCTGAATCACCGCCCCTTATAATCTGCAAACATTCCTTGGGTTTCACATTATTTGACACAGTTAAGTGCGAAAATGCCTGCAGTGATATGAAACAATAGTTTTGCCAGAAATGTAAAATAAAAAGTACGTCATCACTATTTTACAGTCAAAAACTTCTCTAGTACGAAATACGTTCTACAGAACAATGAAATGGTTGATTGAATACATATGTCTAGTAGGCTCTGAATTTGATCGCAGTATATATATATTCCCATCAGTAGAGTCTTATATATTAAGGAACTATTGGCCTTGATTAAAATTCGTTCAAATGCCAAGAGTCACAGAAAGGAATGGAAAATTACTCAGTATGAGTTAGGAGTGCCGTCAAGCGCACAGTGTAGGGTGAAATTTGAACTACACAGCGCTAATGCACTGCCTATGGATCTAATGTACTTCGAACTTTTATAGCGATGCATCCCACTGATTTCTGAGTGAAACTTTCCATAATTAGGTTTCTTACAGGTCTAACTATATTCTAAATTTGACAAGAATTCATTGACATTGGTGCCCTCCTTGTAAACGGCATTTATGGATGCGATGCAGAGAGACACCAAATTAGTCGAAGTGTTGGGGGATTTCTATGACATATCTATATTCGAAAGTGATGCCACCTTTATCTTGTGGATATACCACGTCTCACTTAAAAAACCAAGATATACTAGCGCGATTTGATGAAAATACAATAATATACGATAGACTTTTAAACTGATTGCTTGCTTTATTCCATCACTTTGCGCAGATACCAGTATCAGGAAACATTTTCTGACTAAAGTGCAGCGAACTAAACGTATTTAAAGAATATAATACTATCGGCAATACCTGCACCAGAAAAACCTTTTCACTGAAAAATCTCATATAAAAGGCACAGAAAAAATAAAACTTGTTGTTCGACCGCCATAATGTGAGCACCATACTGAACATATTAAGACGAACTATTAAGCATCTCAAGAGGAACCTATATAACAGCGTTATTTTTCTGTGACAGCCAACACAATATCAAGTTAATTTATACAAGGCCCGGCATGGTTTTGTCTCTGTCCATCGATGATGTTATCACGTACTTTAAAAGTTACTGCTTCTTGCAAAGCTGACTAAAGGTGGGACAATTTATAGCTAACCGTCAGAGATACTGAGGACTTATTGAAATCTATCAGTTCGAGGTCTGTTTATGGAGCACAATGGATGAGATCAACCAGGAAGTCATTTAACATGTGTCAGCCACGTCTCGTAAACCGTTAATTCCCAGCTCTTGCTATGCTTGGCCTCACGCTGTTCCTCGAAGCCTTACAGAAACGCTTAGTACAAACGAACGCAAAACAAGAACACAGATTGGCGACTAGAGAATTCTTTATTCTAACACCAACATACAGCCAACATAGCAACTAAGGTTTCTGAACAAATATTACAATAATAAATCACAATATTACTTCTGACGGTTTTGTCCTGACTTCTTTCTGAACAGCGACCGATAAGACGATGACTGGCTGATTGACGCCTCCGCGAAAATTATGGGGAAGTTGGGTTTGAGCAAGCAACCATGAATTGATCGTTCAATCTTCAACTACACTCAAAACATGCTTGCATAGGAAGACATTTCTTTGACATTTTCGATTCTTGAAATATGTAGATCGAATCCTACGTAGATAGGAATAAGTATGAATTATGTTATATTATTATATTATTCACTTTTATCTAAATTTTGACATTCAAACAGTAACTGAGTAAGACATTATAATATAAATGAGAGGTTTTGATTCACATAGCATCTAAAAATGACAGGAAAGATCAATGGGCTACTTCAGTTGCAATAACCACGGTTAACGTTCATACCGAGTACGACTGCCTACTATCGACAGATGTGTAGGGTGTACCATAAAGAGTGAATAAAGCACTTGACATCCATGGAAAGTGATTTTCGCTATCCAAAACATATTTAGTCCAAGAACCTAAGGGTGTATAATTCAGCATAGGCGTATATTGCTTCTGGCAGACAAACGAGTTCAAATAAGATAGGATTATCAACCTTAAACTAATTCATAACAACCAGGATAGCATGAAAGGAACACAACTTAAGAATAACAATTTGTTTGCACGTAATCCTGAGATACGCAGCTTTAACAAGTCTGAGTCTAACATAGCCATCACACATAAGCAAAGGAAACTTAAAGATCCACATAAGTGTAAATCTAAGACAATATGAAGTATTTTCTAAAGTCACTTATAGAGATAGGTAGCAATAAGTAAGCACATACAAAAACACATAGTAATATCACTCCAGCTCAGATCTGATGGATGTACCAAATAACTAGAATATGCTAGCGAGCAGTGTAAAGTATTAAACATAAGTTACATATTCGGTGCGCCTTTACATACATGAAATCAAAAGATACACACCGCAACCTGGAAGACAGCACTCTATTAAAATAAGGCTCCTAAGTCATGATGAGAACAAATAGCAAATATCTTATCTCGAGGATGAACAAATATGAGCACAAGTACATATTACGAATTAGTTGAGCCTCCGGAAAATAGTATGTCATGGTAATTTGAGTTTAGCCCGTGATTAAGGAATTCAGAATGATGATGTAAATGACCAAGCGGGGATCATGTCTTCCTTATGATTTGTTAGACTTTATTTATCTCCTAAATAATGAATGCTTTTGCGTGTATATAATGAGGATTTCCGTTTCACTTGCTCACTTCAGTGCTTTAAAAATAAACATTTGAAATTAGGGTCAGTCTCCTGTCACGATACCAACTGTTATTGTGATATAAATTTCCGTTTCTGAAGTGAGGAATATCATGTCACCCTACTGAGCCATGCGCCACTAGGATATCTTCCATCATCCAGCTCCCTCCCATAGTGGCCACGATCATAATTATTCTCTAAGTCCTCCTGAACACTGGTCATATGCCAAGGGTTGAAGTCCCTATACTTTGCATTCCGCGAACTGTTAACTATTGTCGGCTCAGGAACCACAACACGCGGATTTTAAGGACTATAAATAGTCTCCCTGAAAAATGTACCAAATAAATCATCCGAATTCATAATTGTCAAGTCACTAGCGATGTATCCATGGGTTGAATCCCGTGCTTGGGGCAATTTGACTCTCACAATTAATCGTTTATCTGGGCGCCTTCCTGGCCAGTAAGAAAACCGGCACATTCGAGTTTGGCTGTTGACAACCGCTGGTGACAATACCATAGGAGAGATTTATGAGTGGAAATTCGGTAGCAGATGGAAATGTACACATAAAACGCGGTAGTTAGCTTCACGGTGTCCCTTATTGTAATTTAAAGGTCCCGATAGCTGTTTTAGGGGCATAATACTTCGAAAGCTGTATAGGCATTATTACTCAGATCATCTGATGGTGTCAGAAAAACTTTAAGCGCAGTGAGCTTACAGTTGCCATAGGAAACATGGAAATGACTAGCCACACTGGGGTGTAGAATTCGCCGAAAATTAGGTTTAAATTTAGGAATTTGCATTCCGATAATGACTTTGACGTGTCTCTAGTGGCTGGAATGCTTTAAGCATGATTATTCTGATCATTTTTCAACGAGATTCCGGTCCTCTTCAAACGGTATTAAGCTAAATCCGTCTAAATGTCAGGTAGTCAATTACACTTTCAGACGTAAACGTGACCTACAACAACTAGTTAGCTCACATGGTCCCACTATCATTGACGGCATAGAGGTTGAAAATACATCCAATGTCAAGTACTTTGGGCTGAGTTTTTCCACCGGTCTCTCCTGGTCCTCCCACATCTTGCTAGTTACTAGAAAGATGCTTCGCTTAACGTTCTATGTTAGGAAATTTAGGTAGTCTGGCATAAAGCAGTCTTTGCTTTCTCAGTTTGTCAATTCTTGTATTCCACCCATCCCCCTTTACTGTTCCCCATTAATCTTTCCTGGACTACTTTAGAAAGACTGCTTTGCTGAGAAGGGCATTAAAAGCCGTTACTAGGGCAAGTGGGATATTGTTAAACCAACTGGTTAACACTATTGTGGATAGACATATCATGTCATGTAAGAAACTAGCGAATACAATATTGTCAGACCCCGAGCATCCTCTCTATATGCAGCTGTCTCCTTGCATTTCATCTGGTAGAACTAGAAACAGCTATAGGAGGTTATATGCTAGGACTACCAAGTACAAAACTCCACAATACCATATCTGGCACAACTGTTATGTGATGAGAAATCCGTTAGGTATGACACGATTAACTTACTGCAGCAGTCTAACAATTAGTCCCATTAGATAGTCCCATTAGTACACTGTTGTTCTCATCTTCTATCACACACTAATTTTATATTTCATATCCTGTGGTGCATTGTTCAAAACGTAAACGCAACGCTGTTTTCTTTTTCTTTATCTTTTTTGGGCGTGGCTTTTTAATTTTAAAATCTTAGAAAATTTATGAGGTATTTAGATGCAATATATTGTAATGCACGCTGAAGATTCCATACCTGTGGCACAAATACTGTTTGGAATAAAGCTGTTATTATTATTACTACATGAATTGGCGATACCAAAAACGATTTTGTCGAACTCAGGTCCTGAATCGACACCAATATTTTTTAAAAAAGAACTTCAGCCTGAAGGGTGTATAACCCCATCAGCGGACTACGTTGTAACCTGAAATTATTTTCACAGTAATTTGTTGGTATACCTTGTTTAGTCTTAACACGTGGCGCATTTTTAACTGACTGGAGAGACAATACAGAGAAGTCTGATTCACCAGATCTATATGAGAAAGTACCCTGTCCAACTTCCATTTACGACGAATCGAAATTTACTTAATACTAGCGTTCAGCAAAACTGTTGTTTATCTATGTTAAAGTTCCGTCCGGTGAAGGTTACTGCGATTTTCAAAATAATACGACCTTGGTGGTGGACTAGGATTTCCCACGTCTTTTACCGTTGTATTAAACTGGGTATGTAAATGTATTAATATTACTCAAAAATGTAATTCTTGATTTCAGTTAGTTTACATTTTACTTTTATTAGTTTTGTAAAATGGTTTAAACTGTAATGAATAGTACATCGTTGGAGGAGCCAGATCGATGCACCTCTGATACACAAACATATTTTGTACCACTAAGTGTCACTCTCCTTGTTCTCAATATTTGGCGGAAAGATGAAGTGATAGTTTTCAACTTCAAAGTAGTTGTCCTCCATGTTTATTGAATGCTTGTATCTAGGCGAATTCAGGTAATAGGGATAGGAGGCTGTTGTGTCCTGTGCTATTCCTTGCGATATATACCTCTGTATAGATATATAACTCCTCTCTGAAAGCTTCCAGCGATTGAGCTGCTAGTACTGAAACAGATAAGGAGTTCCAGTCGTTAACCACTTCACGAAGGAATCTAAATTCCACACGTATTTTATTCGACCTCACTTTTAGTATCATTTTCTGGTGACTTCGTTAATGTATTTTAGAGAGAAGTTTAAAAGTGTCAAACCCTAGATTTTCACTTATAAGTTAATAAATAAGGGTTATTCGCAAGTAACCTTGAATGTTGATTGTTTCTAGACGGGAATGAGTTGTTTGACTTTTCAAGTATATGTGGATGCTTTCTGGCAAAAATCCCCTGCACGTATTAAGTTTTGCATATGTTTGAAGTCTCTACATTGGACTGGGTGTCATACTTGGCAATGACTACTAATTTTTCATTCAAAGCACTTTGTTGAAACAAATAGACTTTCCTCCATTCCTCTTTTAACGTTCCATTTTTACGGAGGCCAGTAATTTCTCAAGCGATACAAGATACAAGTTATTCAAAAATAATTACACCTTTCATTCAGCTTCGTATCAGTTATAGAAGACCACTGGACTTCCAGTTAAAATCCACCTTTTATATCAGTATCACTGAGTGTATTTGTGTATGCGGATTTGTAAACATCAATGATGTGTTTGTAATAATCATTGTTGATGCTCTTCACACGATCAATAGCTAATTGAGTATCGGAAGACTGTATAAAGTTATTTAAGTAATTACTCATACCATTTGGAAACAAATCAATATCTTGCACCACTTTTCTAAATTACATGGATATAAGGTCATGTAAGTTGTTCAAGCGCCACTTGTCCATCTCAGGACCTGTGATCACACGCCCGCTTTTAAATGTCTGCATTAAGTGGAGGTCAATAATTGGAAAACTGATACGGTTCATATAAGCCTGAAGCTTTGTACTTTTGTGGTATAGCTACAAACCTGGATCTCCTATGGACTATCACTACAGTATTGGTTTAATGCTACGGTTAAGGTAGTAGCTATGGTTTATATATAATTCTTAAATGGCTTCTACATTACCTTCATTCGGTGTGATAACATTGTTCAGCCCTGTTTCTTAGTCTATTGTCTTCACACATGGGAATTTATATGATAGGATTTCTTTTGAAATTTCACAGAATTACGGTGTATGTATGCTTCTGTTCTGTTGTTTTTAGTGAACATAATATTACTGCTCAAACAGTTGCATCACGGGAAAGTTAGCTTTATCACCAATTTCCAGAGGAAAGAGGAACCGTATCAGTTTGCGAACACAAAGCAGAACTCTGACAATTACGCTATTGCATATATATATATATATATATATATATATTCATAAATATATAAGTAAATAGTAAATTGATTTTTAGCCTCCGCAAAGTTTGTTTATTGTTGATTGTTGCTGCTCTTGTTGATATTAGTAAGTCAATATTTTCTCTTTTTTGTAGGATTTCATACTGTTGATCCTCAAACTTCTTTCTAATAGTCCACTGTCTAAAGGCTGTGAAGACTAAACACTTTAGGTGCTTTACATACAATAAGTACTTGATACGGTTATAGCATACACTGTATTGGTGGCTGCGGAATCCTTGGAGCGTATTTATATTTTTTCTTAAGAATGATTGAACAATTTCCACGTAAATAGTGAACATTAAAAATTATTGTTGCAGTTATATCTTGCCTACTGTCCACACCTATTTGTGCAAGTCTTGGTGTTGCACGTCAGGAACTGGTAAGTAATTTTTCTTACATTTTAATCTGAGCAAATAGTTATTTGCAGACTATCTTTTGTCGTCTAGCTAATTCTAATGTCTTGTTGAATTTCAACATGCGCCCACCCATAAAATGTCCGTATAAAAGCTATTTGCAGTGAAGAACCAACTATAAATGCTCAGTTCTCTTTCTGTATTACATGAAATCTATTGAATAAAGACGTATAGAGCATTTCATTAATTTGTGTGATCGTGAAATGCATATGTTGATCTGAAGATACGGCATGATAAGGCTGCAGCTTTATGCTTGAAACGACCGTGAAGAAATTGGAAGGTTTGAACACACCTCTTACTTGGAGCCCTTCCATGTTTAATTACGGAGAATAACTTGATCACATCCGTCCTATTATTACCTCCGTTTTCATTGCTCCATGATGCGGAGTGGAGCTATAACGTTTTTCTTTATTAACTTTCATCTTCATAATTAGTCGAAAGTATATTTGGGCTTTATGTTTTAGGTGGATGAGCGGTAGACTATCGAAATCATCTAAAGGGTTAGTGAAATTCACAGATAAAAACTTTTTTTCATCAATCCAGCTTAGAAACAGTGATAAACACAGAAGTCAATTAAAATATGAGAGTTTGGGTGGAAATGATGGTTTCTTAAAATCTGTTCATACACTCCTAGAACAACTGTCAAGATAATTAATCATACTTTCATCAGGATACTTGTAAACAGATCGTGTCTGATTTCATTTTTTGCTAATAATAAGCCTTACAGAGTAACGAATGAAGCATCATAATAAATGTGCCCATTCTGTTGATATATAAGGTCGTTGCAGAGACCAGAAATTGTAGTGTTCATGCAGACATACTTGTATTGCTCTCGCAGACCATTTTGAACTATTTTTTTGAAAGTCATGCTCTGAAGATTTTCCTTCACAAAACTGATTATTATTTTCAGAAACATTATTTGGGTATATTTTTACTCGTTAGAGCATAGCTAAACAGTAATTTTCTTATCTGTTTAGAAAATTAAAAATTATGTTTGTCAATTTCACTGTTGGTTCTATCTTTTAGCGAAATAATCAGTGCTCATACGCACCAGTGCCTGATGGCAGTAAGCTATTTGAACATTTATAATAAAACACAGTGAAACTTTTGAGATATGCCGTTTCGTCTGGAGATTCTGATAATGTTCATAGACTGCTGAGGTCTTCATGCACACCAATAAGTGACAATGAAGGTGATATGCCTCTTATTTGTATAGCAGCTGGAAAAGGTTTGTACAGCTTGATTCTTTTATTTTTGTGTTCATGTCTTGTCATGGTAATCTTTTCGCACATTTATAATAAACGTTTGTGAAAAGTAACCTTCTGTGAAAGAATATTTATGGTAAAGTCTGTTGAGCTGATTGCTCAAATACTGCGTTTTCTACTGTTGTAGTATGTAGAACAAGCATTTGGTTATAAATATTTGTCAGGCTGTGTTGGCAAGCGTAAATGGGATTCCTATATGACAAAATACTTCAGCTGTTGTACACTACCAAACAACTAGATTAATGTATTTTACGTAGTAGCAATCAGTAGTAAGCAGAGTAAATATGTGGATTCATATACGCACGATCGGCTTGTGTTGATCTAATTTTTGAAGTAGTTACAATCTGTAGAATTTCCACTGTAATTTACGCGGGTTTTCACTACGTGTCCCTAAAATGTTGAGCTGGGTGTTTCCAGCATTTCATAACCACTGAATAAGTATGTTACGAACGTGTGTACAATTAAAAGTTATTGCTTTCTGTTTACCATACCTTGGTTTCTATATTTGATTTTTAATCAAAGTAACGTGTGTGCAAATAGTTCTTAAAAGGCGTAAAAGTGAAATATGTAAAATTTTATTCGCTTAGTATCATAACATTCCAAATAATCTAGGTAAAATGCAGTCAGGATCATTGGAAACCACCACAGTGTGGTAATCTGTATGACAACTGATTCGTGATTGGTCATCCTTCCTGAAAATTAATTCTTTACTACCTACTTAATCGATCACCCCTTACTTCAACTAATCGCCTCATGAATTTGAGTAGACCTAAAATATTAAAGGAAGGACTCAAGGGAAGCATGTCACTCAACAATCATCCTTCAGACTTTATTCAAATATTTCTAAGACCTAAGTTAAAGACAGAAATAACGTAATTGGAGGTTGTGAAATAAATAGAGGGTGACCGGAAATGTTCGTAGCATTATATATATCATTTAGGAGGTAGAGATACCACGTGACTGTCCAAACTTCGTTAATTATTTCGGCGTTTGAACGCTTTACCTACTAGTTAGATGTCGAGCGGCTAGATTAATAAACCACCGTCCCACACGGTTAATCAGGTATAATAACATTAAGCAAAACTATTTTAACTATTGGTTCGGAAGTAGGAAAGTGTAAACTTACCTATCCTTATAAAAAAACAAGTGGAAATGATGTCTAGAGAATCATATAACTCAAAATAAGTCGCGGTATTGGCGTCCTATCGGTTAAAGTCTAATTGCTTTTTATGTCGAATATGTCTTAATTCATATTGCTTGCATCATGGTTATTTCTGGCTTCTGATAACCTATTTTCATCAACCTTCATACAAAAGTTAGCATTAAATATGCTGTCTAAAAGGCCACTGGAAGCTTCGTAATTAAATCATCCAGCTCAGAGAACACAACAGTATCGAAAAATCATTTACTTTCATATTATCACTATCTTTGTTGTAGTAGTATAAAGTTGGGGAGCTTAGGAGTTACTTAGCTGCGCTACGTCCTGTGTTTTTCATAAATCCCTAAGAGTAAGATTATATGTAATGTACAATAATCCTACTGGGGGGGGGATTAACTGCAATCAAATCTTGTTCATCAGTTATATGAATTATTCATATTTATACTTACGGTGTTCATTAAACACTACTTTTTCCAAGTTTTATGTAAAAAAAAATTTGATCACATTGCCAGATAGATCATTTTTACTTCAGGTTAGTTTAGATGGTATTCGTCAACATTAGATACAAAACCACTGGATACCGTGATTTACAAATACTGAAATAATGGGTAAAGTCTAAACCAACTGCGTAATGGTACGGGAATAGTCCGTTTTAGTCGACTTCTCATTGGGTTGTCACAAACTTGTAGAATCTAAAAATACAATGAAATACATTTTATTTTTCGATGTTATTTCGTCAAAATAATCCATTCCCTTTGGAAATCGATGTGAAAATTGTTTGTTGGAGTTCGCTAATGTTTCAAATGTTGAAATTTATCGTGATTTGTCCGTTACTTCGATATCATTCTATTTCCGTACAAATAATTCTTTATTATCTGTTTCTTTCAGGCTATGCAGATATAACCGGTCTACTTATCAGACATGGTGCACGTGTAAATGCACAGTCGAATGAAGGTTCCACTGCGCTGATATATGCCGCAGATGGTGTAAGATATTTGATTTTGTGTGTTTGTTTGTAGTTGAATCACTTTTATCACCGACAATTTCGCTATAAGTCTTATTTAACGAAGAAAGTAACCTATTCATTTTCTTCATACTGATTTCTCTTATCTTACTTTGGAAAATTCCGACTCAAGTGGCAAGCTAGCTTGATGTCGCAACATAAAGGTCCGGGGTTCGGTCTCTGTTGGGCGCGCATTCCTGAAGAGTCCCAAACTGGGACGAAATGGGTGTCCAGTGCTTCCTAGTTTTCAGGGATCTTCAGATGATGATGTTGGTTTATAATTTATTGTAAAAACTGAAGTGTACTAACATTACTCTTATAAGTAGCGCACCCAAAGACTCATTTAGAGTTGCTAACAGAATTTCTGATGTGACACAGTGACAGATACCTCCTGACTAAAGATTTACACTAAAATCCACCGTGTCTTGAACTTTTTGTATTTCTTAACTCCTTTAGAACTTGTTCATACTGTCAGTATTTCAGTCTATTACTGAATTTAGTTTAAAGATCCAAACTTTAGTGTATGATTTCGCAATACCGCATTTCTAGGATTTATATTTATAAGTGGGGGAAAGCTAAATGAGACTAATATTACACTATTTAAGCAAAGCAGTTGGTTAGAAAACAGGTAGTTATTCAATATTGTATCAAGTTTACAAACCGATCAAGAGTGGATACATCCGCAACATATGATTAATTTACAGTTACCAAGATCTGTTCCAATTATTTTAGGATAAGATACACTGTTGACAATGAAATATTTCTATCCCGTTTCTCTTTTCTCAATCTATTATTTGATTTTTATTTTGCTGTGTCAACTTAAAATTATAGACGTGAGGAGTAGGTGGAGTTTAGCATGTGTCAATGAATTGGGCAGTAATACTTAAAAAGTAATCAGCTATATTCTTCCAGTAGTTGTTTCGTATGATCTATCGATGATTTATTGCGTATTCGTTAATTTATAGATCATGTGAGCTGTTGTTATTTCACTATAGCGTACACTGGCATACTAAAAGTAATCAGATTGAGAAATAAACTTTCTAAACTCAATATTTTTTGACACTAAAAAGAAGCACCTAGATAGCATGTAGCTGAAATACATGAGGTACTTTCTAGATTGAAAGTTATTGATTGTTTATTGAAAATTGTGATATATGTGTCCCATCATGATGCTGATGATATATCTGATATAAAAACGTGAAATCCTGGATGAAACACGAATCCCGCGTTTTAAACATTTATTTCCCGATACGAATTTAAAACAAGCAATAAAGGTTAATAAAGCAGGATTTAATGAGTTCATCATATCTCGGCAGAACTCGTCAGCTGAATACTCTACATGCACAGATATATATTACTTTTGAAATTACATTGGGAGATATAAGACTGATAAGTAAACAAACTACATTGAATTAGTCATGCAGAAAGACAGGTGCGTATGAGTTCCGGTGGGTTTAATAGCGTCGAAGATAGAACTATCGATTAGAAGGCTTTATAAAATGAACATCTAATCGATAGATCCATCTTCGACGCTATTAAACCCACCGGAACTCATACGCCTAGACTTTATGGTTTACTCAAGATACATAAACAGGGGATTCCCCTATGACCAATTCTGCACATATCGAACTCGCCCTTCCATTTAACTGCCAAATGGTTAGTAAATCTGTTAGAAGTGCTACATCGCCAGTTAGTTAAATATAGTGTAAAAGACGTCTTTAACTTTATTGAAAACATTAAAGATATGAACCTAGCAGACAAAACTATGTTATCATTGGACGTAACATCACTATTTACCAACGTCCCCCTTGTAGAAACTGTCGACTACACATGCGAGCAACTCATAGAAAAGAAAATATAAATTGAGATCACACCAGAAAAATTGAAAGAATTACTACTAAAGTGCACTATGAACGTTCAATTTGTATTTAATAAGGAGTATTACTGTCAAATAGATGGGATTGCTATGGGTTCTCCCCTTGGTTCCTTATGAGCTGACATATTTCTATCTTATTTGGAAAATGGTTCTTTAAAAGAGATACTAAACAAACTCAATTATTATTCTCGATACGTTGACGATACCTTTACCAGTTGCAACAATAATTTGGATAGACAACACCTGCTCCAAGTCTTCAATAAGGCACACCCAGCTATCAAATTCACTTGTGAAGAGAAACTCCAGGGTAGTATTCCATTTCTGGATGTCCTTCTTACGAAAAGAACAGACGGTACCTTAAAGAGAAACATCTATAGGAAAGCGACGAGGAATGGACAATACACTGACTTCCATAGCTTCATACCTATACAATATAAGCGCAACCTAATTCATTGTCTTAGTCAAAGAATTAGACGCTTATGTACCGACGATTGTATTGAAGATGAAATAAGAAATAAATAAGAAATCTCTGCATGACTAATTCAGTGTAGTTTGTTTACTTATCAGTCTTATATCTCCCAATGTAATTTCAAAAGTAATATATATCTGTGTATGTAGAGTATTCAGCTGACGAGTTCTACCGAAATATGATCAATTCATGAAATCTTACTTTATTAACCTTTATTGCTTGTTTTAAATCCCCAGTTTGTTCATTGTTCTGTTTATTGTGAGTAAATTTAGTTTATATTGATTTGCATATTTACTTGTGAATTTATCCATACTGAAATGATGTTTTTCTTTCCTACATATTTTCTAGGGTCATCTGGCTGTTTTATCACTGTTGTTAAATGCAGGTGCAGCACTAAATGTTACTAACTTTCATGGAGAATCTGCACTTACACGTGTAAGCTATCTTAGATTTAGTGATAAACATGCTGAATGATCTCTTTCTTTTTTCTGTTTAGTTAAACACAAATATTTTATTTAATCTTATTTCAGGCGACACGACGTGGATGGGTTCAGTGTGCACGGCTTCTTTTAAGCTATGGGGCCAATCCTAATCGCATGCCGACAAATGGACATGATTTTCTCGTATCACCTTTACACTTAGCCCGTCAAATGTATCAACCCGCCATAGAGCAAGATATTTTAAGGCTATCAATTGAGTAAGTAATTCTAGTTAGAAATTTGTCTCTTATATAACCAATAAAAATTGCAAAGTCTAGAAGGAAAATGACTTCCATATGTGACTGTGACTGAATATTAAAACAGGGGATTTACATCACTTAGTGTAAAGCTAATTAAGTTAGCTTTTAACAATGAAAATAGTCTCCCTAAAAGATAAAAATCCGATTAAGTAAGCATAACACAATTATTATTATTATGTCCTTTAATTCCTAGAGGGACATAGGGCTTCAGCTGCGCGTCTCCATTGCGTTCGGTTTCCTGTCAACTTTTTCACCCCGCTCCAAGTCTGCCCACATGCTTTCATCTCCTCTTCATATGACCTCCTCCAAGTCACCCTTGTACTGACGACCAACTGGCCGCTTCCCTTTCGGGTTCCACTCGAGCGATGGCTTGTCTAGTGATGTCACTTGATGGTTTGCTTTCTCAGAGGATGGCCAATCCGCCTCCATTCTTCCTGCCTATTTGTTTCACAATCGGTTCCTGTTAGGTTGGTTCGCTCATTGCCATAGATCCCTCCCTGCTGCTGATCTTTTCTGGTTGGTCATCTGATCTTGAGTATTGTGCGAAGATAACTGTTAATGAAGGTCTGTAGCTTGTTTGAGATGCTCTTTATGACTCGCCAAGTTTCTGATCCGTATAGTAGCACTGGCTTCACATTGGAGTTGAAAATCCGGATGTTATTTTTGATGGTGAGTGCTGTTGACCTCCACACAGACTTGAGAGTATTGAAAGCTTGTCTTGCTTTGATATCCTCGTCAGTTCCGTCTTCCTGTAGTTGAAACGATGCTTCCCAGTTAGATGGGTAGGTAAAGGAGGTTGTTTCTTTCAGGTTCCTCTCATTTATGCTGGCTGATTGTTGTCTGTTGTTGTTGGTCAGGAATCTTCATCACCTAACTCTCTTTTCTCTATGTTCACCTGAAGTCCTTCCTATCTTTGATGCTTCTTCTGCCTGCATAACACAATGTATATATATATATATAACTGAGAGGTATTTTCAGATATATGGATTACACATTCACTGTGTTAAAATCGGAATATATCCCTCAGTCCTTCATATACATAAGCGGAATATTAGATGGAATTCAATTCGCTTTTAAGTTAGGAAATGAACAAAGTCAGCTGTTCTTGACTGTAAAGTGATGGTGAGTTCGTCACATTCTAATACAGCACTTAGACTTTAATATATCCCATTCGGAATTGATAAAGATAGGTTTCGTTAAATATCCACCTAGTAATTGGGCCAGAAGCCCAACCACCAGTAAGCTAGAAAATTTAAATAATGAAATCAAACAAATAAGGAAAGTATTACTAATGAATAACTATCCACCACAATTTATTCATAAATGTCTAAAGACACAGAAAAAATAATATTAATCATGAAAATGGTGGATATAACATAAGTAGTATGGAACTTATAGCCCTCGTAGTACTGCCGTCTGAGGAAAAAACATCAGAGGCCTTACCTAGGGTTCTTAATGAGACTGTAATTAAGGTGGCATTTAAACCAACCAACTCTTTCAGAGGTAAAATGTGTCGGTTTATGGACGCGCTAAATCCAATTAAGAAAAATAGTATAATTTACTAAATACCATGTAATGCTTGTGTGGTCAATTACATAGGTCAGACTAGTAGACAAGGATCAACTAAATTAATTGGGTCATAAAAATATAGCTGGCCAAATGACCTATAAAAAACCTCGGCCATTGCATTGCATTCACTTGTATGTAATCACTCGATACAGTAGGACAGAGTTAAATTATTAAAAAGTAATATAATTAAGTGGAGAGAGAAGTTAATCACTGGATCGTTTTTTGTCGAATTGACTCCGAACACCCTCAGTCGAAATGATACAACACCTATACCTGATATATGGAAAATTGCAACAAATTGCGAAGATAGAGAAAGGATTATATATGTATATATAGTTGTGCTCGGAACATCATCTAATTGTTAATAATGCATCACTGTGTTATATCAAATGAACTTATCTAATCTAGAAGGCTTAGTTAAGTAGTGTCTAACAAATCGATCGAGAACTCCAAGTAGCACATCAGAAAACCGAATTAATGTAATAAAACAGATTTAAGAAGCATTGATGCTAAGTAACTGTTCCATTAAATTCATTAAGATAAAAAAAAGCTCACAAGAAAAGTAGTGGTGAAAATAATGTCGGCAACGTAAATAAGAAAGAATTTAAGGCACCTACAGTTTTACCACATAAGGAGAAATTCTCAATGAAGGAGGAATTAGAGTGGCATTAGAGTGAGGCCACACCAGTAGATCAGGGGTAGTTAGATTATCAGAACAGAAGAATTTAGTGAAGTGTAGAACGATTGACCTCACGAAGACGAATAGTTTAGAGGAAAACTCAACAACGGCAATGCATGCATTAACACAATAGGGTGGAAAAGAGCTACAGTTCTAAAAAGTAATATAGGTATTTGGAATTGTACTTAACACGTGCAATAGGAATGACTCAACGCCAATAACAGAGATATGGCAAACATTACTTCCAATAAAATTAAAGGATAAGTAACAGTAGAATTATACAAACCGATTTCAAACGTTATATATTTCAAACGTTATAACCTTGATATGGTTACGAGTAATAAATTGTGCTCGAGACTTCAGCAGTAAATAGAATTGTATCACTGTACGCTTTTATCAAATAAATTTACTCTACGATGGGATTATATTCTACCAGTACCTAGGTTCTATTCTTATATTAATATATGTCGTGTAGTCAGTAATATTTCATTCTAGACTACTAATTTCAATAACTGTAGTACGGATATATTTGATGGTGTGGATTGCATGTGATAAGTCTAAGTAATAAGTGTATCGGTGGCATAGCGGTTAGGGCGCTCGCCGACCATGCACATAGTCGGGCGTTCGATCCTCGGCCGACGCACACCTAATATCTATGATCGGCCTGCAAAATTTGGGTTACCGATATCACATGCTGAGAATTCCATACTTGTGTCGAAAATACTGTGTGGAGTCAAGCTACAAATAAAAAAGAGAGGAAGAACGAAACTATTTTTTTTCAGTAGTCTGTCTATAGATGCGTTTTCACCACAAAAAGACCGGCATTCCGTTTGTATTTGTTTATAGCTGTCTTCGCATGACAGTGAGCTTTTCTTGGAAGGAAATGAAAAGACGTGTGAAGTTGTTCTCTTGTTCGTCACCGTGGGAAAAAAGTTATCTAGTGAAATTTTGATTACTGTTATCATTGCGAAAGTTTTTAGTAGTATATTTATATTCTATTTGCAATTAAACACAAAGCATATTTTTTATAATAATCTACTTTATCTAGGATTGACAAAGCTTTGGTGGAAATAGTATCGATGACTTTACCAAATCATCTGACTTTAATCCAACCTGGACATCTACCAGATACAATATCCTCGAGTTTGTTTCCAGTTCAGCTTATTTCTCCATCAGAAATCGATAATTTTACTGTTTATTTTAAAACACCTGCATGTTATGGTGCACGCAGCAGTACACAATCTACGGATAAGGAATCGTCTCAGAGATCAACACCATCTGATGAATTAATTTTTGTCTACATTGTTCGAGCTCACTTATTTGTACGTTCTGATTGTAAAATTACCATGGTACTCTGGGTTTTTTTGCCTGATGTACACTCATTTCACCAGCTGGTTGTACATTTTCCCAAAATTCAAATGCCTTGGACATGTGTGTAGTAGTTGATTTTTTAGATTAGCGGGAAAATGATTAGTGGTATTCAGTAAAGGTCTTTGTTAACTGGCAGATATCCAGATTGTCCTAAAAGGTTGACTAAACACACTCCATCCTTCTATCACAAATATTTTGTCCTATGTACGAAGAAGCAGTCGCAATCATCTACAAATTGCTCATCCTGTCATGAATTGTATCACATCTTTCAACTAAACAACCCAATTCGAGAATTATTCAATATTAGGGTATATATTAGCTTTGTAGGAACTGCCGAAAATCTGGACGTAAAGGGAAAGGAAATAACGTCACTGAATGCAACATCATTATTCACCACCGTGTCGTTGCTCAATACAGTTAACTACTTTTGTAATGAACTAACAGAACTGAAAGACAGATGTATGAATCCACCTGAAAAGTCAAGGAATAATTGTTGAAATGTACGATGAGTGTAAAGTTTATGTTCAACATTGATTTTTATAGATACGTTGGTGGAGTTGCTATGTGCTTGCCTCTGGGTCCTATGCAGGTGAATATTTTCTTTCCTGAACTTGAAAATAGTCCACTTTTAAAGACACAGTTAAGGGGTTTGACTATTATTGTCAATACGTGGATGATACCTTCATCGTTTACGATAGAAATCTCAATAAACAAAAGAGCTAAGTGCTATTGATAATGTTCACCTAGCTATTCATTTTATATGTGAGGAAGAAGAAAACAACAGTATACCCTTCCAAGACGTCCTCCTCACCAAGAGGACGGATGGATATCTACAAAGAAACCTATTTAGAAAGAAGACTTAGGTTAGTACACCCACACTCATAGCTTCAATACAACAGGAGCATATGTTCAGTGGAATGCATTAAGGAAGAAATGTGTAGATTGAAACTTGCACTTCAAGAAAATGGATATCCACAGGACTTTAACAAAAAATTATATATCGATACCTAGAGATAGGGTAACAATGAATACCGCAGATAAGAAGACTTTGCATCTTAAGCTAAGTTACACAGGGGAGATTGCAGCTGTTATTCTAAAACGTCGGCGTAATGGAGCAGTAAAAATAACATTTCCTGCGGCGAAATTGGTACTCAGTTTCTCCACTAAACCAGTTCTCACACCGAGTCAAGGATAAATTACAAAAGATAGCCTCATCAATGTGCATCTATGAATTGTCTCACATCCCTGTCTACTGTCTCTGTTTTGCATTTCTTCTCTTGCTTTGCGTGCTGAGTGAAGTGTGGTGACTTGAACTGCAGCACATCGGTCCAACGTTCTATATTTGAAACAGACAGACAGTATTTATGAATTCAACTAATCACGTGGAGCTAGTTACATTGGCCGTACCCAGACGGCTTTATCCATGCGCACAGGTGACCATGCACCTGCATAGTTGAGTAAAGGTAACCAAGTACGAAAGTAGTTCTGTCTTAGCTCACTTAGTAGATACTGGACACTTGGTAAGACCTGAGCAGGCGTTCCAGTTATTTACCGTGTCCTTAGTAATCTACCTAGAGGAGCTAGACTATTTCTTGTATCAGTAGCTGAAGCGGTAGCAATCAATACCAGAAGACCTGGTCTTCGTATGCAGAAAGAGCATGTCCAACCGCTTTGTTTGCCTTGGCCTACAATGATGTCAACTTATCTTCCATAAACATTGGCATTTTAAATGCCTATCCAAACTTTTTATTCTCTCTCCTTTTTTCCCATTGTTTCATTGAAAAACCTTTATTTCTGACCTTTTACGACCTCATGAGCTTTCTTATTCTGTTTATTACCCTAGGTTTACATAATGCTTCTCTGATATGCTATTATGTTAATTATAATTATATTTCAGTAGTCTACACACAATGATAACTCTTTTGTTTTGGTAATATTTCGAGCAAAATGAATATCCATGATCCTATCAACTGTTGGAATTGTCTCAATTTAAAAAAATAAACCCAGGATCTACCAAGTGGGTTGAGACTGCACTATTTACGCATTTTGTCACCCCTTTACTCAACCATACAAGTACATGGAATGTCTCCAGAGGTGTTCAAGAATGGTGGAGACAATTTACTGTTTGGGTTAACTAAGGTACTAAAGAACGTCTGGGAATCAGGGATAGTCCCGTTGGACTTGTGCAAGTCATTGATTACCCTGGTGTACAAGTTTTCTTGTGATAATCACGGGGATTAGGTTGACCAATAAGGTATCTAAAGTTGTACACTCATTTACCTTGCGTAGATTTAGTGGTGCTCGGGAGAAACAAACGAAAAAACCAGGCAGGCTTTAGACCAGAAAGAGGGTGTGTTGACCATATCTTCACCCTTCGATAAATTCTGGAATATAAGCATACTTGCGTGCATCCAACAGTTCTCATATTTCTTGACCTTAAAGCAACGTTCGATTCTGTCGACTGAAAGGTACTATGACAATGTTTGGTCGTGAAGGATATGCCAAGAAAATTCATCGAACTAATCAAGGTACTCTACTCGAACTCACACAGCCAGCCAGGTGAGAGTCGTCATCTAAAGTGATGACAACCAGTGGTGTTCCTCAAGGATGATAATCGTTCACTAACAGTTCTTTTAAGTTAACACTAAACTATCGTTGTTATTTCACCATCATTATTACTATTATTTGTCACCCTTGATCTTACGTCTAGTCTATCCGATTTGTTAGCTTATTTTCCGCAATGTTCATATAGTCTCAGACACCACTGACTACACTCACCCTTGGGAAAATTGTTTCCTATTTATGAAGAACTTACCGTTTTCTAGTTTTTAAGATCAGAAATATTTTGATGAAAAGTCATCTAAAAAACACTTTTACGGTAACTTCCACCCCACCGGTGACACTGGTTGGTGGTTGCGCTAAAATCACGAATTGGTAGGTTAGAATTCATGGGCCATTGAATCGGATCCCAGTGTTTGAATCACACATGAGCTTGTCATGTAACCGGAAAGTCCTAGGTTCGAAATCCAGTGGGTGCGTACTACCGGTGAGCCCCAAATTAGGACGAAACAGCTATCCATTACTTCCTGGTTTTCAATGTTTCTCTAACTGATATCAATCCGTGATCTAACCTGAAATAAACTGTATCCTATTTTTCTGAAGAATATATAACCTTTTGATTAGTTATACATTTTTCTCCTCCCTAAGGATAATCATGTTTCCTGTTGGCTCACTGGCCCTACATTGGAAGCTGTATCACTGACTTTTAATGGGACAAGCAAACATTGCACTCGTATACCCCTGTCGTCTGAATGTTCAGGGATGAGCGTGTTTTCAGTATCAACAGTTATCCGAAGAGGTGTTTTCAATACACTAGGTTTGGAGTTGCGTGCGCAAAACTCTTCAAATGCTGAAGCAATCCAGGTTAGTTTTTCTCTACTACAAGTACGATATCTCTTTACTGCTGTTGGATATGATAGAGAAGATTTGTAGCTCAGGTGGATAATTTTGATGTGGTTTTGTTCTCTGAGCTGGATAGTTAGTTTGCGAAGCTTTCATCACCTTACTGGGTGACATCTTCAGCGCATACTTCAAATTGAAGTGAGCTTTTAGGTTTCTCCACGAGTTTATTAATCATTCCTCCTGGTGACCTTGGACGTGATTGGTTGTTTATGTATGTTTTCACACCTTCTAGGTTACTTGTGTTGGAACTGATTGTTTCTGTGACTTGAACTTTGGCCAATCGTGTGTGAAGTTTCTTTCTTATTGGTTGATAAATTTTGTCTATCTCGATGTGTCTATTGATTGATGATTCACTGGAATGCCAAGCTTCTAAAAATTCTCTAGCATTCTTGTTATTTCCTTTGTCTAATATTTGAACGTTGTCCCAGTCGAATTGATGTCCGTGGTTGTCTGTGTGTAGTGAAATGAGGGAGTGTATATCATGTCTTTTGACGGCTAGCTTATGTTCGTGGATACGAAGACGAAGGGGACGTCCACTTTGGCCAATGTAGTGTTTTTCACAGTTGTTACAGTTTATTTTGTAGATGATGTTGGTTTTGTCTTCTTTTGCTGTTGAGTCTTTTGGTTGACATAGAATTGAGTGCAGCGACTTTGTTGGTTTGTGTACGACGTCAACTCCTAAAGGTTTGAAGAGTCTTGTAGTGATTTCTGAGATATCTTTTATATATGGTAAGGCAATTTTCTTTGTGTTCTCCTTGGTGGCTTTTGCTTTGGTAGGTTGGCTTGGGGGTATATGTCTCTTGATGAAATTCCGTGGATATCCATTCACAGAGAACAAAGACGAAGAGTCCTCAAAACCAAGCTAGCCAAGATTAGAAAACAACAACCAGACAATACGCCCATAGACTGCGTAGTCAACCTATCAAAACAACCACTATCAAAAATGGAACAACAACTACTACAAAAAGGATTAAACTACAACACCGGAGATGCTTCAAAAACTGATTTCTTCGCTGCCTTGAATCATTACTCAAATCATCAAACTTGAACGAGGAAACACAGGAAGAGATACGCCAAACAATTGTACCAATGGTCAAACAGAAAAGACAACACACACAACTCAACTCTCAAGAACTAAAGGCCCTCAAAAAGCTGAAAAATAGGAAGGACATCGTCATTTTACCAGCCGACAAAGGAAGAACAACAGTAGTCATGGACAGAGAAGAATACACCAAGAAAGCTGAAGAACTACTCAAAGATGAAGATGTATATCAACAACTCCCAACAAATCCCATACAAACATTGGACAACCGCATCCAAAGGACCTTAAACAAGCTCAGCAAAACTGGACAGATCACAAAACAAGACCAATGGCGAATGAAATCCAATGGACCAGTCCTACCTCGATTCTACGGCAGACCCAAAATACACAAGGCAAATATCCCGTTACGACCAATTGTATCACTCCCAGGAACTCCAACATATAATTTGTCCAAGGAATTATACAGAAAACTAAAACACCTAACGGAATCCTGTGATCACTCCATCAACTCTGCTATCCAATTCCTAGAGAAAATCAGAGACATCCAAATAGATGAACAAGAAATAATGGTATCCTTCGACGTGACAGCATTATATACCTCTATCGGACAAAAACTAGCAAAAGAAACCATGGAGCAATTACTTAGCAACGACGAACAACTTCCACAACAATCAAAAATGCAACACACAAGCTGGATGGAATGCATAAATCTATGCCTAACAACATACTTCCAATTCAACGGCCAAATATATGAACAAGTCAAAGGAACACCCATGGGATCGCCAATATCAGGTTTGATTGCAGAAGCAGTGATGCAAAGACTCGAAAACATAATTCTACCAAAGATCAAACCCAAGATTTGGATACGCTACGTCGACGACACATTTGTAATAATCAAAAGAAACGAATTAGACAAAACTCACAACTTAATAAACAACGTCTTCAACGACATCAAATTCACAAGAGAAGAGGAATCCGAGAACAAAATACCATTTTTGGACGTCTTAGTCAGGCGAACAACTACAGGAGAATTAGAAACTCAAGTTTATAGGAAATCAACTCACACAGACCAAATACTGAATTACAACAGCAACAACCCAATAGCACACAAAAGGAACTGCATACAAACACTATTCAAGAGAGCAAGGACTCACTGCAGCACTCCCACCTTAAGAAAAATTGAAGAAAAGTATCTCATGGACGTCTTCCAAAAGAATGGATATCCCCGGAATTTCATCAAGAGACATATACCCCCAAGCCAACCTACCAAAACAAAAGCCACCAAGGAAAACACAAAGAAAATCGCCTTACCATATATAAAGGATATCTCAGAAATCACTAAAAGACTCTTCAAACCTTTAGGAATTGACGTCGTACACAAACCAACAAAGTCGCTGCACTCAATTCTATGTCAACCAAAAGACTCAACAGCAAAAGAAGACAAAACCAACATCATCTACAAAATAAACTGTAACAACTGTGAAAAACACTACATTGGCCAAAGTGGACGTCCCCTTCGTCTTCGTATCCACGAACATAAGCTAGCCGTCAAAAGACATGATATACACTCCCTCATTTCACTACACACAGACAACCACGGACATCAATTCGACTGGGACAACGTTCAAATATTAGACAAAGGAAATAACAAGAATGCTAGAGAATTTTTAGAAGCTTGGCATTCCAGTGAATCATCAATCAATAGACACATCGAGATAGACAAAATTTATCAACCAATAAGAAAGAAACTTCACACACGATTGGCCAAAGTTCAAGTCACAGAAACAATCAGTTCCAACACAAGTAACCTAGAAGGTGTGAAAACATACATAAACAACCAATCACGTCCAAGGTCACCAGGAGGAATGATTAATAAACTCGTGGAGAAACCTAAAAGCTCACTTCAATTTGAAGTATGCGCTGAAGATGTCACCCAGTAAGGTGATGAAAGCTTCGCAAACTAACTATCCAGCTCAGAGAACAAAACCACATCAAAATTACTGCTGTTGATTAGGTATAAACCAGTGCTTTCAAAGTAAAACTATTTCTGTAACCTCTAAAAGTAGTATGCACAGTAGTTGAAATATCAAAGTAAAAGGCATGCCACATCCTTAGAAAAGACTTTTTGTTTATTGTTAGTTAAGCATTATTACAGTTGATAGTTAAATATGTACATTACTTTTTAAACCTGTTGAGATGAACTTTAGAGTCTAAGTCCTACAATATTCAGAAGAAAATTTCGGAAAAAAGCAGCATTCCATAAACATCTGAATATGAGGAAGCAATTGTTTGCGGAAAACAATTTATAATAATAATAATTGTATTCATGCAACTTTTTGACTTATTAGAAACATATATAGAAAGCAAATCGCACAGTGTACACTAGCGATGGTAAAGTATAACTGAACAGTAATATTCTCACTTTTTATTATTTTCAGGACTCATTATGCGATACATTTGTACTTGTTGGAGCATATCGTATTTGTCTAGACGTACAATCTTTGGTAAGGACATCGATGAACCCAGTTCCAACATCCTCAGCGCCTAGACAGACTTATTACATTCCTCGACCAGTGTGATATGATACCAAACACGCTAAGGATGTAAAAAACCTACATTTTTACCTATTAACTTGATATAAACAGAAATATGCAAAGAATTCTTTGTTGTTGTTTTTTTCATAAAATATTTATATGTACATGACTGAACCCAGAGGGCGCATTAATTACATAAAATCAGTCTGATATTATTTGTGTTGTGACGCTGAGGTTCCTCGAGACGACGAAGCCTGTTGCTGATTGACTTTATTCTGACGTTGTCGTATGCACATAACCAGTTGTTCCGCTGTTACTGGACACATAATGCTTTCAATAATAGCTAAGATAGAGTTGGAAAGATAAGATAAGAACATATTGATGAAAACATTCACGGTAAACACAGGATTAATTCAAGCAGACAAGTTTCTCACATAAAATATCACGCAAAATGTACAATTGGAAATGAATCATGCCTTCTATATCAAAACTGCTGGTACTATCTTGTTGTTTAAACCTCAGTGTGCAGGATGGTCTTTTTATATCTGCGACTTACTGGTTAAACGTTGAGTATCTAAACCATCCAGCCACGTGACCACTCCTGTGTATATATGGAATATGAAATGATCAAGAGTGTTGATTTGACCTGTCTACATAAATGCCACCTCTCGTTTAGCATTTATAGTTTTGGTGCGACAGCATGCACAGTAGGTTTACCATGTATAATGGTATATTCAGAGGAAATTGCTGACTGGGTTGACTTGTGATAGAGATGAAATGATTTTTATTTAACACCTTGATTGGTAATTAGAATTTTTTATACACTTACCGATCCCTGACTTATGATAATTCGGTTCTGTCTTATCAGTGCGTACACGTAAAACCTTCCAACCAACTCCTGGCACGCATACACATTCCACGATTTTTCCATCTAATACTTTGTCACGCGAACTAACATGTGCAAGCTTCGCTGACGGTACTGTGAGGCCACCAAGGAATAGATAACCAACATAACCGGGAATTTCCCTGAAACCAAATGAAGACTAGTATGAGTTATATCAAGTAGTAAACCACAAACAATACACATTAATTAACTGGTTTATCAAAATTACCGTCTGCACAAGATTGGCGCATACCAAGCTTTTTGTCTACAGTTCAAACCATAAAATAAGAAATTTTTCATCTCAATAAACACCCCCACATGATAACAACTACGGTTCCTTTTTTAAAAATATATCATCGCAAGAGTACCGCAAATATAACCCCCAATCTACACTTCAAATTTATTAACTTTACAAAACCACAAAAAGGCGTATAGTGAGTGGTTAATTTCGTTTTTGTATGCGTAGGTTTGTAAATACACGTTCGAATAACGACTCAAGATAAGTAGATCATAGATACACAGGACCGAAACTGCAGTACTTCCCTAACACCTGGTTGTTTATGACTTCAATAAAAATGTCTGGTATAAATGGAGATGTGCATCGTGGCATAGTGGTTAGCACGCTCGCCGACCATGCACGTGGTCCGGGGTTCGATCCCCGACCAACTCACTCCTTTTACCTCGCTAAGCCAGGAATAGTGCTGGTAAAGAGGGAAGGTTTGGCATGAGGCTAGCAACTCCATTCTGTAAAAATAAACACTGCTACAGAAACTTCTAGCTTGAGGCCTTATGTTCCACTTGGAACGTGAAGGAAAAAAACATAAATGGAGATGTTTTGTAGAAAAAAAAGATATTACTTTGTTTCATCTGTCCCATGTTAGAGATTGGTGACTAGAGCAGACAACGTGAAGTCATTACCGTCGCATCACAAATTTAATTGAACTATTAAGTCAAACACGTTCTTCAGTAATGAGACTGTAAGTAAATTGTGGATTACGTCGGTTAACTCTGCTTTGTAGTGTTAAAATAGCTGGTCAGATCTGAAATGTACGAAAATATGTGAGGTATACAAATGACAACCATCTGCGACACGCTTGCCTGGTGATAAACGCTGTGACTAGTCTATTTTCATTATGTAAGGACATTTTTTTGAAAACCCGTCAAAAACAGTGATCTTGAATCGAATATGTGCGCCTAGCTGAACTATCTACAGTCTTTGTATAAAGGTTGATTTATCCGTCACGTTAATTACACCTGTATGCTGAAAGATACACTGAATAGTGTCGTAATCTGTAAGTTACTAAGGTCAAGCTGTATTTTCACACAACTATGTGATGAGTTCATCTCAAAATGTTAAGGGCATAGATTCTTGTTAAGAGTTTAAATTCATGTAGAACTGTGTGTATGTTTCTTTACTATTATGTGCAGGAGTGAGGTAATCAAAAAACTTTTTGCAGTAGTTATTGGACGACCCAGTAAAATTTTTTGTTGGCTAACAACCTTTTGTGCAAAATCACCTCCCCTAGTCAGTAAACCAGAATTATCGACTGCATACACCGATCAAATATGTTGGCTAGGAGTGAATAAAACACGAGTCAACACTTCTCAGATGTCTTTTAGTGCATATCGCTGTCGCTCGGAATCTTTACATAATGACCGTGGATTTATACATAATGTTAGGTTAAGAATATAGTTATACTCTTACCCAACTTTTCTCTGAAATTCTACTTTGCATCTGAAGTCGATAGAGTTCATATTTGGCGGTTTCCATTTCAGCGTCTGAGGACAAGTTCCGAGAATATAAAAATCTTCAGGACCACAAGGTTGAAATATGAGACCATCAGTTGCATGGTCCAAACTTTGAAGAAAAGCAGGTTTCAGTAGCTGAAAATATAACACAATATTTAGGAATATTAAAACTTGAAGGCGAATAGAGAGCTATTACTTGCTTAAAACTCAGAGCTACACTTCAATTATGTCTATTTATTCAAACGGAGACTACAACTTCCCCACTAACCGATGGATCTACTCAAAATAACACTGCAAGATTGTACACTAGTAGGGATTTATATACATTACATAAGCACATCAGAGTAAAATCCACATAAAGAGAATTGAGAAGTCAAAATTGTTGGAACAGAAATAGAACACAAACAAGAAATTTATGATATAAGACTATAGGCAGAGGTCTACAAAGAAACATAGTGTTGGTGACTACATCAATGGCTCCAGTTTTTAGGCATCTCTTTTCTAGGCTGGTTTCATCACACACAATAAATGGAAACTATGCGTAGCTCACATCTTATCTTTGACCTGCTTATTTTGTCTCGTACTCTGTGACTTTTAATTGCAGTATTTCTACTCGCTTCACCTACTACTGGATGTTCAGTTATGAAACCTGGCGAATTTGGTTAATAAACAACAATTGAAAGTCTTTTGTTGATAATATCTGTAAAGAAGTTGCAAAGAACTAGGGGAAATCCTCTCTCCACTAACAACCCATCCTATGAACCAACTTTAATCCACTATGTTTGTGAGGTTTTATACGTGTTGCCAATATGCATCCATAAGTTTAAATTATGTGCCTTGACATGATTTAGCTCATTGATAAGAAACGCCTATTTATTTTCGACATAACATACATTTTCAATTGTGGATTCATGAATATTTTTTAAACCCAGTTCATGTTACCGGACCATGACACATACTCATCGAGTGAGGACAGGTGACAGCACTCAATTGCCCAGGCTGAGGTAGGTGGAGAATTGTTACTTGAATTTATATAACTAGGATTTCTACTCTGTAGCACACAGCGCGATTTCAGAAGACTGCTTAAGCTATATTATACGCAAGTTCATTAGATTTAAATGGAGCACTAAATATAAAAAGACAGAAAAATTTATAAGAGGGAAAATAAGAGACGAAAATATATAGCGCTCGACTAGAGTTTAAAATTGGAACTTTATCAGCTAACATGAGTAAAAGTTACCTGTCCAGTAAACCTGATATGAAATACTTCAGTTGTATTATGGTCTTCCAGACGCAAAAGTAACACAAACACCTCTATGCTTATTAAATCATTTTTGCATAAGAAACTTACCTCTTCGGTATCTTGGAGAGCCCGAAATGCTTTTCTTCGAACAGAAAAAGACTGTGCACTAAAGTCAACAAGTCCCATGTGACCACCAGTATTTCTAGGCCATATGATTTGTTTATCGATTGCAGAGTAACGTTCAAAAAAGGGGAGTCGTCCGATTGATTTGTTGTTCAAGGCGACCATATCGTAAATTAGGAATCTGGGAGTTCCAGAAACTTCTGAAGTAGAAATATTAGGAGGTTTAGACTGGTCGTGACAAAGAATCATTTCTCCATCCAGAAGCGTATTTACCAAGTGGCCATCAGGATCACTTAAAAAGGCTTGAGAACCTGCAAGAGGATCACGCTTTCCGTTCTCGCGAACCCATGATACAGTTGGGAAGTGCAAAACATTTGGTTTATAAACAAAATTGCCACGATCAATAAGATAGACACGACCTGGACCCATTATGAGCAAAAGATAACGCGTCCCATCCGCCTTGTAGGTTACACAGTAATCACAGTTGACCAGCGCTGCCACATTTCTCTGTGTTATGGAAACTGGCTGACTACCTTTAAAGCGTAAAGGCCTTTTAGATACTTTAGGTGTTTTATTGTTTCGAGCAACTTCCTCTGTATCATTAAGTTCTTGTTCATTATCGGATGCCGAGTCTGTGGCAGGAAACATCTGGCCGTCTATATACACAAAACCACCAATTTTGCACAACTTCTCTGCCAAGTCGCGTGCTTCATGTGCTTCTGGGCTATCTTGGTCCAAAACATCAACTTTGGACACACCCTCCATTAAATCAGGATTTCCCGGAGGGGGTGGGGGGAAATTTCTGCTTGGAAGATAATTAAAAGTTATTGTTTCATCTGTATTACTACTTTGGCGTAATATCTTTGATGACGAAGCTGCCTCCTCGTCGCTATAATTTGCATGTGTCTCATCACTGCTCCTTTTCAATGGTTTATTTGAACTGGATTGTCCATCCTCTAAAATAAATTAGGAAAGCATGTTTCAGTCACAATATTTTATAGACGTTTTAAAATGATATGAAAAATAATCAAAACTACTTATGCCAATTGTGTACGGTCACCACAGTTGGTTTTTGGAACCAACCATTTAAGTTTGAAACCTAGAAAAAGTTCTGGTAAGCCAGACACTGTAATTGAAATCGCCGTAATTAAGTGTGTCTATGTTCTAATAACTTATCCTGCAAGCAGGCGAAAACAATTGTGTTTACTTTCTTACTATTACTGGCCAACTGTTATTATGCTATCACTATCACGTTCATCGAGTTAATCACATAATACAAATCCCAGAATCCATACTGGATATTCAAACAGTAGTGAGAAACAGACTAGTCGACAGGATTAGACAAGCTTAATATTTTATTATTTCGATACACAAATACGCTGATATCTGATTTGAGGCATACCCCTTAACATGATGAAAGCTAAAAAGCATCCATTAACAAAATGAGTCGATAACAAGAATGCCTTGTGGATATTATCTCTGTATAACATTTAACATGGTTGTTATCAGTTTTTTCGCTAATACACGTGTGCCTATGTTAAATGATCAAAATAAGTTGCTATTGACGTTTATTCTTGCTTTCTATTTATCACGAAGTACAATAACCTGAATAAAATGCAGAGCATTTCTATATTAGTACAATATTATTACGCATTTTGGACACTTTACCTAAACACCATTCCGGAAGTGGAGGTGCTTGTGGACAATCTTCAATGCATCCATAACGATTGAACAGATCTTCTAAGTAATCTGCTTTGTAAATTCCAGGAGGTCTTGAATCGGAAAATATCTGAACTGCTATGTCTACGCTAAAACGAAATAACAAAATTGTTAAACCTACCCATAATTTAGCTCTTCCACAAGATAGGCAGCAATCATAAATCCAGTTCTGTTAAATCCATGAGTACAATGTACACCTGAATACAAAATTAGGGCAAATGAGATAAACATACCTATTTTTTGATTTCCAGGATTGCTATCGAGAAATTGATTAACAACTTGAATGAAAAGATTCACTTGTTCTGGTGTCGGTCTTTCTTCGTTTCCTTTACATTCTATCTTCAAGTACTTACAATTATTGTCAGTTATCTCTCGTCGATTATAAAATCTGCGAGATTTGGTTAAGTCGATAATGAGACCAAGTTTGTACTGAAAACAAGGATTTGGATGGATTAGAGAACTTTACTGGTTCCGCAGTTTTGAATGTATCATCCACGTGAAAGATGTCTTCTGGATCTATGAAATGATCAAATTTATTGTCCAGAGGGGTCTTGAATGGAATAAAAATATCCAATATCATGTCTCCCATACGTGGACACTTCAGCCACCTGGGCGGTAGCATAGGCATTCCTCTATCATTCATTCTAGAAAGTTGGAAAATATACATACTGTATACACTGCGTTTTAAGTGGAATGGAAGTGATGTAAAATCGAATATTTGATAAAATTTACTATGAAAGCAGAACGACAACTACATTACTGGATCCGTTTTCAATCTTCCAGTTGCCTATAGCTAGACATGTTTGACTTCCATATGGGATAGAGAATTATCACTAGACGGTCATTTTTTTATAGGACTTCGATATCACAGACAGACTACGATCTCGAGGACAGTACAGCGCTATGTATCTTTGATTAAAACAATACACAAGCCATAATTACTTCATTTTATACCTACAAAAAGCGAATTGGTGGAGACTAGTGGCCTGGTATCAAAAACCTTGAAGTATAGTGGATGAAAATTGCTAAGTCATGAGAATTATTGTGGGCAAGTCAAAATGAAGCCGATAGATGATCACAACGGTTGATACCAATACCTACTGGAATAACTCTGGGGGTAACTCATTTGATGACAGTACATACAATCTTCATATTATATTAAACACCACAGTATACGCACACTTTTCGCTCCTAAACATACCATCGATATAAGTACAAAACTTGGGCACTGTGGTAGAGTATAACTCCATAACAAATAAGATTTTATTTTGATAAATCACAGTGTTGTACAGTTATTTTAACTGATGACGTTTCTAGCACAAAATATTGCTCATAATCATATCAATGCGAATTCATTCACCCTTTGTGATTTATGATATCAAATAAAATTCTATTGTTCTTCAGTATTACTATTATTATTGCCCTATTTCCGTTTATTATCTCGGGAAAGTGAAACTATTACAACCAAAACCACAGTGACCTCGAACAAACAATCCTCATTCAGATGGAAAAAGTAGCATAATCGTCAGAAAATTCACTAAATATATCGCAAGCATGATTTCACACTGAAGAGTAGTAGCCGTAACCCTACCTGACAGCATAAATTCCAGAGAAAGCACCTAGCGAATACGTAGAATGTACGAGATACTCAATTGCTAAGTCATAAAAAAGGCACAAACAGCGAAGAAAATTTTCTTTTCAACCGTTCATTTTCATGAGCTGTACAACCGTAATTATATTTAACAAAAAATGCTCAGACCAATCAGATACTGGTAAACTTTGTCCCTGAAAAATTGTATTACATAATGTAAGGTGTAAGAAGGGATGACACAAATTAGCATGACGTAATAAGTGTGGGATAATGACTAATCAATAAGCTCGTGCAGAATGGACAGGAACTAGTGGAAAGGCGATAAAGTGTTTTTGTATAAAATCTGTATGAAAAAGAAATGTTATTAATAAACAGTAATAGAGTGGTAATAAAATGTGGATGATGGGAATAATAATGATAATAAAAGTATCAATAACAATAATAATTATTATTATTATATTATTATTGTATCCTTTAGTTCCTAGAGGAACATAGGGCTTCAGCTGCGCACCTCCATTGACTTCGGTTTTCTGACAACTTTTTCAACCTGCTCCAGGTCTGTCCACATGCTTTCATCTCCTCCTCGCATGACCTCCTCCAAGTCACCCTTGGACGACCAACTCGCCGCCTCCCTTTCGGGTTCCACTCGAGGGCTTGTCTAGTGATGTCACTTGATGGTTTCCTCAGCGTATGGCCAATCCATCTCCATTTCTTTCTGCCTATTTGTTTCACAATCGGTTCCTGATTGGTTCGCTCCCAGAGATCCCTGTTGCTGATCTTTTCTGGCCATCTGATCTTGAGTATTGAGCGGAGACAGTTGTTAATGAAGGTTTGAAGTTTGTTTGAGATGCTCTTTATGACTCGCCAAGTCTCTGATCCGTATAGTAGCACTGACTTCACATTGGAGTTGAAAATCCGGATCTTATTTTTGATGCTGATTGCTGTTGACCTCCACACAGATTTGAGAGTAATGAAAGCTTGTCTTGCTTTTCCGATTCTGGCTTTGATGTCCTCGTCAGTTCCGCCTGTAGTTGAGACGATGCTTCCCAGGTAGGTGAAGGAGGTTGTTTCTTTCAGGTTCTTCCCATTTATGCTTATTGTGGTCTGTTGGTGTTGTTGATGTTGGCTAGGAATCTTCATTATCTCTGTTTTATCTATGTTCACGTGAAGTCCTATCTTTGATGCTTCTTCTGCCAACTTGTTACTTTTCACTTGCATATCTTCCAGTTTATGGGAAATCAGACATATATCATCGGCGAAATCCAGATCCTCCAAGTCTTTTGTGTCAGTCCATTTTATGCCTGTTCCCTCGTTGGTTGCCGTTGTCTGTCGCATTATCCAATCAATTGCAATCAGGAAGATCATTGGTGATAGTAGACAGCCTTGCCTCACTCCCGTCCTCACTTCGAAGGCTTCCGTAAGTTTCCCGTTGTGGATTACTTGGCATGCAGCATTGTCGTATAACTGTTGGATGAGGTGTATAATTGTCGATGGGACCCCGTAGTAGCGAAGTAGTTTCCAAATGACCTCTCGATCGACGCTGTCGAAGGCCTTTTCAAAGTCGATGAAGTTGAGATAGAGAGGTGACTGCCATTCCAAGCTTTGTTCAATGATGATCCGTAGAGTGGCGATTTGATCAATACATGATTTGTTTCTCCTGAATCCAGCCTGTTCCGGACGAAGTTTTTCATCTAGGGCTTGTTTGATTCTCTCCAGGATGATGCGACTTAGTATCTTGCTTGGAATGGACAGAAGCATAATTCCACGCCAGTTTTTACATTGACTTAAGTCTCCTTTCTTTGGAAGTTTGAATAAGTAACTGTTCTTCCAATCCTCGGGTACTTTGCCCTCTTTCCACACCTTCTCCAGTAGTGGTGTCATCAAGTCCGCTGTTGTCTCTGGGTCTATTTTCAAAGCCTCTGCTGGGATTCCATCTGGTCCCGGTGTTTTCCCAGCTTTAAGCATCTTGATTGCATTCAGGACTTCTGATTTCGTCGGGGGGTCAGTGTTCACTGGTAGTTCTGCTTCCGTTGTTGGTATTGCTGGACGTGTTGTAGGTGGCGGACGATTTAGAAGTCTTTTGAAGTGTTCAACCCAGTGCTTTCTCTGTTCCACCTCTTTGGTGATTGACTTTCCATTGTCGTCCTTTATTGGCTTAATCTGTGTCGAACGTTTGCCCGAAAGGTTCCTAGTTGTTTGGTAGAGTGTGGCGAGGTCTCCTTTGCCTGCAGCTTGTTCTGCTTCGTTTGCCATGGTTTCATAATATTTTCTTTTGTCTTCCCTGGCACTTTTCTTCACTCTTTTGTTCAGTGTATTGTAGCTTGCATTCAGCTCCTGTTTTTGTTGCTCGTCCGTGCACTGGATAATCTTTTGCTTCACTGTCCTTCTCTCTTCTATTAGTTTCCAAGTGTCCGTAGTGAGCCACTGTTTGTCCTGTCTCTTTTTTCTGCCTAGAATTTCTATGCAGGTTTGGCTCCACACCGTTTTCAAGTTGTTCCAGTGCTTTTCAACGCCGACCTCTTCGCTAGTGTTGATTTGTGTCTCGGCTTTGTCCTTTATGCTTGCAATGAAGATGTCCTTTGTAGCCTGGTCCTTCAGCTTTTGAGTGTTGAACTTGGCTTGTGGTCTATCTGCAGCTCCTGATTCCCTGAAAGCTTTTAATTTGATTTGGATTGTCCCTTGTACGAGATAGTGGTCTTAAATAATAAAGGAAAGAAGCAAAAATGTAGTAAGAACTTTACTCTTACCATGACAGGGCGAGAGAATGCATGTATCGCTTTTGAATGCAGAGGTCCGGTTTCAGATCTCGAATAGCTAATGCTTCAGCTATGTACAGATGGCGTATCCGAAGTCCCTTTGTACGATATTGAGGGACACTGTGTGTCACTGTGAAGCATTCATGTGGGAGTGCTCGATGTCCCGAGATGACAAGGTGTTCGAGGATAGAGCTGCTGCTATTCTTCCTTTTTCCTCTGGCTAACCAAGCTGGACAGTGTTCCAGAATACGTTTGTGGACTTGACGTTGCGTACGGCCGATATACTTTGCTCCATACGAGCAAGTGAATTGATAAATACACATTGAAGTGGCCAAAAGAGGTATCTTGTCCTTAGCGTTAGACTGGATTAACTGTCTGCAGCAGAATGTGACAAGTAGGGTGGCTGTTGGAAATGTCTTCTTCAGACAATTAGAAAGGCGGTTTCTGAGAATTTCCGCTGCGATATCACCTTTGAATTCTAGGCTCATGAAGAGAGTCTTCTTAAGAACCGTTGTGATGTCTGACACCGGAGGCTTATCCGTCATGTTTTTGTCGATAAATAATCTTGGTGGATACCCATTCTCTGGTAGGGTTCACGTAATAAATTTAATTCTTTCTCTACCATGTCTTCCGAGCGGTGTCACAGGGCAGGAGTGATAAATATGCTACTGAGACACACTAGACAATATTCTTCCAGGCATCTTCAGGGTGAGCACAGCTGTCGAACACAGATATGTATTTAGCTAGTTCTTCCTCAAATAGGGATTTAGTTTCTTGATCGAGCTGGGGACGTGATGGGTTTACCGCCAACTATTTCGTACGTCCGTTCAGTCGTAAGCACACACGAGCGCGGACCAGTGCGTGGTCGGTATCTACACACGTGTTCCAGAAGGAGCGACAATCTCCTACCGACCCACGCCAACGGTAGCTTATTGCTATGTGGTCTATTTGTGTCCAGCGTTGGTTTGATGAAGGGGGTCTCCAAGTCAGACAGTGTCTCTCCTTGTGTTTGAAGTTAGTGCTTACAAGAAACAAATGATTATCAGAAGAGAACTGTAGGAGACGGTCACCGTTGTCGGTTCGCTGGCACGGAACTCCATAGGCGCCACCGATATCCTTCTAAGATTGACATAATTTCCCTAATTGAGCGTTAAAGTCACCAGCTAGAACGACTATATCTGAGCGTTTAGCCTTTCTCACCAAACTAGACAGCTTTTGGTAGAACTCATCCTTCGTTTCATCTGAACTGCAGTCAGTGGGGGCATAGGCGGAGATTACGAAAAGGCATCGGCGAGTA